AAAATTCAAATGATTATTGAGAAACAAAATAATAATAAATAAAAATAAATAACAATAATATAAATAGTATAACCGGTAAATAAATGATATTTAAAGTTAGATTAAAACGGGTAGAATTGCATGACGTTAGCAATATACCGGATGGGTCCGGATATTGTGAAACGTATGATTGTAGTCGGGTAATCTTATAAATAATAAAATGATGATTGCATTTACTGAAGTCTTCGATGTATGATAATCAATCCGGATCGATTATCATACCGCGGTGACGTGTTTGTGATTGTGGCGATCTTCGTATCGCGCCACCGTTTTCTGATAAACGGTTATGGCATCCAGAGACTCACGCATTCGGGTTTGCGTGTGTCACTCGAATGCGTGACGAGGAAGTACGGTTCTTTGGCAACCGCGCCAACGTTCCATTGGCCATGGAACGGACTTCGGGTTTGCGTGTGTCACCCGTTGACTGGCAAATAAACCTGAGACCCGGGTAGTTGCGTGTGTCCCCCGGTGAGGTGGTACGGATATACTCTGAAAGATTTGAGCTCGAGTCTGATGAGTATTTTTCCGAGGCGGATGGTCGGCGAGGGGGAGTTAGCATAGAGCTGCTTCGCCCGGCAGTCGGCGGCATCGGGGATCGATGTCTGGAGTGGGTATGGGATGACCGGTACCGAGAGCCGTGATATCGGTGATCGATGAGGAGTATGAAGATCACTTGAGGTCCTCGCAAACGATTTTTGCTTGGGCTGTTGCGCCTCGTGTTCGACACAGGCATGAACGAGTTGTTGTATTTACCTACGTGTGATATACACGTAGAGACGATTGACGGACATTGTTTGAGAATGCTGATTGATTCAATGATGATTGATTTTATTGGAATATCCCGTCGCATGTATATGTATATTATTAACTATATTGCTTGGCCGTTTTCAATAAAAATAGAAATCTCGGGTTACACCCGAATTCCTCCCTAAGCACGTAGCTTAGGACGTTGTTATGCAACGTTTCAGGTCGTGAGCAGCAACAGTGACTGAGGCAGACACGGGACCCGGTGACAGCTAGACTTCCTCATCATGTATAATTATCTTTAACGCATTCTGTTTTCAAAAATAAAGAGTGGTGATCTTTGAACTTTTTGTGTTATAGTTTTCACACCACTTGTATTATGTACTGGTACCGTTCCAAGCGTGTGCGAACGTATTGATGTATTTTACAATGTCTTCCGCTGTATTATATTTAAAATGGATCGTTTTAACTTTCCCGCGAGTTTATATTTCGAAATTTTCCGATTGTGATTTTATTGTCCACGTGGCACAACCTGTAAGCGGGATACGGGGTTACGGGTGTCACAGCAGTGCTCTCATTACCGAAAGGTAAAGCTCCCGGCCCTGATGGTTTCTCGGCTGAGTTTTTCTCGCTTTGTTGGACTGTAGTGGGTTCAGATGTTATAGCTGCTGTGCGGGAATTCTTCGGTTCCAACACTATCCTAAAACAGTGGAACTCGACCTTGATTACTCTTATTCCTAAAGTCAAAACAGCATCCAGACTCAAGGAATATCGGCCAATTTCATGTTGTAACACCATCTACAAGGCAATCTCGCGCCTACTTGCTAAAAGACTAAAGACATTGCTTGGTTCCATCACTTGTCAAAACCAAACTGCCTTTATTCCTGGACGTTCATTACTTGAGAATGTATTGCTAGCGACGGAGCTCGTTTCTGGGTTTAATCGAAGTGGAAGATGCAGTCAAGCACTTATCAAGGTTGATTTATCCAAGGCCTTTGATAGTGTTCACTGGCAGTTTGTACTCAATATCTTGGAGGCTATACATCTCCCGCCTCGGTTCATTCTGTGGATTAAGGAGTGTCTCACCTCCCCTTCCTTCTCATTGTCTTTTAATGGAGAAACAGTGGGTTATTTCAAAGGGAAACGCGGCTTGCGTCAAGGGGATCCGCTATCACCCTATCTCTTTGTGCTTGTTATGGATGTATTATCCCGTCTTCTGAACAGGGCGGTGGAACAGGGTCGCATTATTCTTCCTCCAAGATGCAGGAATCCTCGAATTGCCAGCCTAATGTTTGCCGACGACATTTTGGTCTTTTCAGAATGTTCTACCAGTTCTCTTGCAGCGGTCATGGATACGTTGGCCTCCTTCTATGGGACCTCGGGTTTGCATCTGAACAAAGAGAAATCCTCTCTTTTTGTGGATGGAAATTCTGATACAATTGTTGCTGCCCTTGAAGCGGCTACTGGAATTACTCGTACTCAGCTGCCGGTGAGATATCTAGGTCTTCCGCTGTCAGGAAAACGCATCAATGATAGGGATTGTGCTGGTCTAAAAGACTCCATCAAGGCAAAGCTTTTCTCCTGGACTTCTCGGCATCTCTCTTTCGCCGGTAGATTACAACTAATACAGTCAGTCATCTACAGCATTATAAATTTTTGGTGCTCAGCTTTTATTCTTCCGCGTCACTGTATTAAGGAATTGGAGAGAATGTGCTCTGCTTTTCTCTGGTCAGGCACTCCTATAACGGCTAAGGGAGCTAAGGTGGCATGGAGCTCTGTCTGTACTCCGAAGGAATGCGGGGGTTTAGGGCTGCGAAGGGTGACTGATTGGAATACTATCCTGACACTCAAGCTTCTTTGGCTAATTTTTACCAAGAGTGGTTCGCTTTGGGTCGCATGGGTGAGACATCATTTAATCAAAGGGAAATCGTTGTGGGATCTCAAATCTAGTACCAAAGGAAGCTGGTTGTGGAGGAAGATCCTCAAGTTACGAGACACCGCTCGTCCATTTATCCGTTGCAGGGTGGGCGATGGGACCATATGCAGCTTCTGGTTTGACTCATGGCTCCCGCATGGACCACTCATCTCCTTCCTCGGCGAAGAAGGGCCTCGACTACTAGGTATTCCCCGTTACTCATCTGTTCGGGATGCTTGTTCTAATGATGGTTGGTCTTTCACTCATGTAAGGACTCAACGTATGGCTACGGTACTCAGCGGTCTCTCCATGTTGGACCTACCTTCCCGTTCAACCTCGCCGGATCTTTTCTACTGGTCTGCATCTCACATGGAAACTGATTGCAAGCCTTTTTCTACTGCCCTAGCTTGGAAGCTATTTTACTCGCCGCTTTGCTCGGTAGTATGGAAAAGATCGATCTGGTTTACTCATGCCATTCCGAAGCATGCGTTCACTTGCTGGCTGGCTATACGTAACAGGCTGCCGACAAGAAATCGTATCTCTTCTTGGTACCCAAACACGTTGCTGAGCTGTCCATTGTGCGATGAAGCAGATGAGACAGTCGACCATATGTTTTTTGTTTGTAATTTCCTCAGGCAAGTCTGGGCAATCTTGCTGAGGGGAAGCCCTGTGACTCAACTGCAGGCGACCTCCTTTGCCGACGCACTAACCTGGGTCGACTCTTGTTCTCCTAATCGTGCTATCAAACTGATCATCAACCTACTACTTCAGGCGACTGTCTACCTTTCATGGCGAGAGAGGAATCTTCGGCTCCATGAGCACACAGCTAGACCTCCGACAATCATTGCGAAGGAGATACTCAACACAACTCGAAGGCGTCTCTCATCTATCCCGCGGGACTGGTGCATGCGGAACTGCGCGGATTCGCTACTTACTCTCTGGTTTCGATATTTTGATTTGGTCTAATCGTTAGATCTTACTATCCTCCCCTGGGTATCTATCTCTGTCTGTACTGGCTTATTGCCATGGACCTCTGTATCGTTCTTTTGAAATAGAAAATATATTAACAGGAAAAAAAAAAAAAAAAAAAAAAAACACAACTGAGTTTAAACATCTCTGTAAAAACGTTACTTGAAGGTCTACGTATACGAGTCATGAAAGTTATTATGGATATAGATGTTACTATTATAGGTATATATATGATTATGGTTATTATGGGTATATATGATTTTCACTTTGGTAGCGAAAACAAACCCTACTTTGTTCTTCCGACAGCTTTCCCTAGTTGCTTTGGACAACAATTAATACACAAACTTTAATTTTAGCCAAAAAATACCTAACTCTCTACAAATAATCAACTAATATTTAAAATAATAAGAATCATAAAAAAAGATAACTTACTCAACCAATATTTATTATTTTAAATGGCTATATTTATTACATAGAAAAAGACATATTAACTCAATATTTTCTTATATATCTAAAAAAATATGACAAGAATATTATTTATTGTATAGATTCTAATTAGTTATTTTCAATATATTTATAAGAAATCTATATGATTAAGATATATATTAAAAAAACAAACGGCATATATTGTTTGCTAATATGAAGATATTTTTTTTTATTTGTTAGTTTATTTGGAAGAATGTAATCATATATTTTTTTTTCATGAAATTAAATATCTAGGTGTGTTTAACTTTTTAGTGATGCTTTATTTGTTTTCTTCTGTTAGAATATTTTTGTTTTTTAGAGTTTAGGGTCCAATACAAAATTTACATTTCTATACGGGTTATTAGATTACATTAATTTTTGTAAATAAAAGAGTTGTAATTGAAATTTGTTCAGATTTGAGAAGTAATTAAAACTACCCCATTTATACAACTCGCCTCTAATTCATAGGATTTCGACGTTCAATCTGATATTCTAATATACAAGTTACGTTTAATATAAATATTTACAATAATTCTAAAAAAAATAAAAACACTTCTGTACATAGAAACCAAACATTTTCCATAATCTTTGTATGTATTCCAATAGTATGGTAATTAATATAATGAAAATACATCTATAGCAATATTAAATACAATCAACCGAACACTTAATAAACCAAACAATTTCAAAGCATTTAACCTGATTAACACGTAACCATATATAAAATACATGCAATTCCCGTCCATGCATATTAACATTAATTAAGGGCGTGAATGAATAGAACTTGCCGAAACTAACGAGGCCTATATGCTGAATGGACTAATTGGGTCATCATTTTCACTATAAATAGCCCTTCAATCTTGTAATGGGTCGACGCATATCTCAAAAGATATTCCACGCTTTTCTTCTATACGTTCATCTTTCACAGTGAATTGAATTTGAAAATGGTTAAGGGAAGGCCAAAGGCAATGTCAGTTATGATCATCATAGCCACCGTAGCCACGGCCATGACCGATGCGGCAGCGCTTGCACAACAAGTGCCGTGTTACTTCGTGTTTGGAGACACTTTCTTTGACAACGGCAATAACAATGACTTGGTAACCAACGCAAAATCCAACTATCTACCTTATGGTATCGACTTTCCCAAGGGTCCGACCGGCCGGTTCACCAACGGTCGTACTATCCCCGATTTTCTCGGTTCGCCTCTAAATTTACAGATTCATAGCAAACGGTTTCCGGTTCACTTCCTTGTGTACCATTGTCAAATTACAAATGAAATTATATAATTTGATCTCTTTATATAATATATATTTCAGCTGGATTGCTGGGTTTCAAGGATTTGATCCCGCCCTTCGCCGGATCATCTCCTACACAAGCGCTCACCGGTCTAAATTATGCATCTGGAGCATCTGGAATCCTCGACAATTCCGGCAAAAACCTAGTAATGTTCGGAAAAAAAAAACTGATCACATGCATAGATAGATTTAATGTTTTTTTTTTTTGGTTAAATGTGAAATATATTAGTAAGAAGTATAATTACATGTCGGTGTTAACCGAATACAAAAGATAGGGTACCCATGATAAGTGAAAAAGAAACACAAAAACCCCATGTTGGGAAGTATAATTAGATAGATTTAATGTTCTTAATGTATCAACACCAAAACTATATATGAACCATATTTATTTGTGCTTTTGCTATTGAACAGGGCGATAACCTTAGTTTGAATAGACAGATAGGGAACCATTTCAGGGCGATCACAAGGGCCGGTGTGCCAAAGGAGAGGCTGAAGAAGTGTTTGTACACGATTAGCACCGGAAGCAGCGACTACGTCAACGACTACTTAGTGTCGCCTCCGTCCTTGAACGGTCTCTTGTTCACTCCCGACCAGTTCGCGCAGTTTCTCGTCCGTGTCTACTCTTTTCAATTGAAGGTACGTATAATCATATACATGCAGGGTTAGATATATGACCCAAACTTTGAAGAAAAAATATCCTAAATCGGGCTTCTATGTATTGTGCCGCTCATGCTTTTATGATAGAAAATAAAACGGATTCAAACAAATATCGATTGAAAAAATGAAACATATATATATATATATGTGTGTGTACATGCGTATAGGTTTTGTATATACTCGGAGCAAGGAAAGTTGCACTGTTTGGATTACCTAAACTCGGATGCGCACCAGGGCTTGTCACCCAAGGCGGCGGTTGCGATGAGAAGGCTAACTCCGCAGTCAAGTTGTTCAACACTAAACTCAGAGCTCTTGTCGACGATCTCAACAAAACCCTAGCCGGTGCCAAATTCACTTATGTCGATGCGTTCAACACCGCAGGGCTAGGTAACATATTAATAGTGGTTAATATATATGCAAATATATATATATATATATATATATATATATGCAAAGCTACCTTTTGTTTTTCCCGCATCCGAGTCCTTTTATTGGGACACATATCAGAGTATTTCAAAGGTTATTCTCTCAGCAAGTAAAAAGTATTCACGAGATTCACATAACATAATATTTATGAAAAACTATTTTCATTTGCTCCTTTTTTTCTGTGTAAAAATGTTCAGGGTTGAGGAACGAAAGCTGTTGCACGGTCCAGCCGGGGCAAATTCTATGTGTAGCGAACCAGCCGGTTTGTGCAAACCGGAACCAATACGCGTATTTTGATGCCTTCCACTTCACAGAGGTCGTATACTCAGTCGATGCGAAGTCTGCCTTCACCGGCCAAACCGCTTCTCCGTACAGCATCGCCGCACTTGCTAGTTGATAAGCCCACCTACATATATATATATATATATATGATGGACTGTAACATATCTACTAAAATAAAAATAAAAAAGCTACAAGTGGCCGTACTGTAATAAAATGCAAAAGCTAAGGTATTATGGATAATAAAGGTATGATATCTACTCGAATATTTGCTTTCGTAAGTCCATTCTATAAACTGAGAAATGGAAGCACAACTGAAATGGCATTCATATATGAACCGATTCTTTCCGTACTATCCATAAAACCATACACTCTAGGGTTGAAAACTCGGAAAGAGAGACTTATAATTTATTTTGAAACAGTACCGAGCAAATTAAGTTGATGTATTATGTAGCTTTTATAGCCCAAAATAAACGGACTCAGACACATTTAGATTGAAAAATATGTATGTGTGTACACATAGGTTTTGTATGCCCTCGGTACGGAAGTAAAACGGGCCATCTAGACCCGGATCAATCCGAGTAAGCCCGTTTTAGCCTCAGTTAGGTTGCACCTCGTATATATATATAAAGTTACTTCTTGAAGTCCTCCTGGTTTGGTTTCTATAAGGTAGTATATATCTCCGATTTTACGCACTCGCTCGTCACTTTCTTGATCATACATGGTAGTGCTTTCAGAATTAAGTTGGAACCGTTCTTTTTATATATATAATTCCGAAAATTTATTGGACCTGTGATCAAACTACATCTTTCAAAGAATTAGAGAAATTCAAGTGAATTTTCCTCACTAAATGGAGACTAGAATCTGGGTCGGAAAGGAGTTATGGCTCATCCTTTACAAGTTGAGGAGGTTGAAACAATAAAAATTTTTATTTATCTAATCGCGAGAAAGACTATCTCTAACCATCCAATCTTGGGTAAGTCGGGAGTGTTCTTACCTTTTTAGATAATAAAATTTTCATATTTTATTTTGTTACATAATTCCTATTTCATTCAGAATTTTTCATTTTATACAAAGGTTTGATTTTGTGCCATATGACTTCTTGCTATTAATAAACCATTTTTTAATCAAATCGAGTTAGTTATCGTAAAAAATGTGTTTATCCGCCAATAGGAAGCCCGAACCAGGGCGAATAAATAGTTCCTCGATATTCTAAATTCATTGTCCATATTAAACCTGAAACCCGACTCCACCCGAGGTGGAGAGTTTACATTTGGTTCAATTTGATTTAAATTTAACTAATAAAATTATTTCTAAGTTTTCGAAATCATATTTATTTTTTGGTGTAAATTCGATATTTAATTCTTATTTTTTCGATTTTGGAATAAATATAATAATTCAATTTTTAGTACAATTTTTATATCATTTTAAATGACAATATTTGTTAGAAAAAGAAAGATTTACTCCATATTTTCTTATATATCGAAACAAATATGATAAGAATAATACTTAATTGATATATTATATTTAGCTATTTTATAGAAGATAATATTGCATATATAGATTGCGTAAATCGTGTCATGGAGATTGTGTATCTCCTAAAGATATTATCTCTCCCGGAGTCTCAGGGATTTCCCATGTGCATATATATATATATATACAATACTCTCATAGATACAATATAGTCATATGTACGAACTCTATTTTGGTTATCTTTTTCCATTTAAATCGAATATATTATTTATTTTGCGAGGTCTCTTACAAACCCACTCTGAGAAAATGAAAGCAATCTTTAATTTTATTATTAAATAACTAAATCTAAAATCATGAAAATTAATGAAAAAATAACAATCGTTTCAAAATTTATTTTTATGATTAATTTATTATTAATTCTAATTTAAATTTGAAAAATAAGTGAATCTTTAAATTGATTTCATATTTCTCCAAATATATCAATTTTTAAAATTATATATTTAAAATACTTAAAAGTCAAATATATCAATAGAGTGATTACGTAGGGATGTCAATTAAATCCGGAGCCCGAAATTCGACCCGAATCCGCCCGAGAATAATAAGGACATGGGCCTAAAAAGTATAGGCTCATTAAATTTCGGGCTTTCGGACTTCGGGTTAAATGGGTTGCGGGCCAGTCAGGCCGGGCCGGTCGGGTCTAGTGCCGGGCTTGAGGCCCATTAATTTTTTTTTCTAACTTTTTTCTAAACCAAAGTTTTAACTCTCTATAATTATCTTAACTTCTTTTTAACCATATTATATCATATATTGGATAATCTTCTTTTGTATTATTTTTTTTACCAAATCAAACCTAATACTTACTATTTGATAATATTTTTTTGTTTTATATTTTTTTTCTCACTCTATATTAGTTTTGTTTCGTACTAGTGGGTTGGATTTTGTTCTTCGATGCGCATAAACAAATATATGTGCTAGATTTATATATGTGTATCTTTTAACCAAATAACGAAGCTTTATCTTGATTCCAATTAACACTTTTTAAAGTGACGGAAACTTTTATTTTTAAAACAATATTACATCATATATATATATATCAATTTATGTTTTTGAAAGCGTATAAACTTTCAAACATATATATTTTTAAACCTTTGTTTGCATATGAATATATTGATTTTTTTCTACGTGTTTCAAATTAATTACATCATATAATATCTTTTTAATACTATGTTTGCTTTTTTTTTTTAATATTTTACATTATTATTATTATCGTAAGAAAAAAATATTTTTATTTGATAAAAAACCCGAAGCCCGGTCCGAACCCGCCCGAAGCCCTATAGGGCCGGGCTCCGGGCCATCGATCCTAGATCCGAAAAATAAATGGGCGGGCCGACCCGGCCCGAAAAATTCCATGCCCGAATTGAACCCGCCCGATTCCGGCCCGGCCCGTCCATTTTACACCCCTTACGAACCAAATGATCTTTAAAAAAATATTATTTTTATTAATATTTACCAACAGTTTATTTATGGTTTAATCCTGCAAAAAAACCCAAACTTATTAAAATGTTCCATATAAAACCCTCAATTTATAGTCTCCCACAAAAAATCCTAAATTTAGCAAAAACTTCTACAAAAATTAAAGACGTGATTTTCTTCTATATAAAGTCTTTAAATTGTTTGATAAAAAATAATGATGATGTGGTCGATGCATCGTGGACATGACACCGACTGAGTTATCACGTCAACACCACACCATCAATTTAAAAATTAAAATATAAAAATAAAATTAAAATACATACACATATATATACATATATATATATATACGTCCATACAATCATATAGATATATATATATATGTGCATGTATATATATGCATATATATATATAAATCTATATATATTTATATATATATATATGCATGTGTATATATATATATATGTGTGTATGTATGTATGTATATAGGTGTGATATATATATATTTATATTTTAATTTTAAATTGATGATGTGGTGCTGATGTGCTAACTCAATTAGCGTCATGTCAGCAATACGTCGTGCCACATCATCAATATTTTTGGTCAAATACGTCAAAAGTTCTATATGGAAGAAAATGATAAATTTCTAATTTTTGTGAAAGTTTTTGTCATATTCAGAATTTTTGTGAGAGATTGTGAGTTGAAGATTTTATATAGAATATTTAAGTAAGTTTAAATTTTTTGTGGAATTAATCCGTTTATTTATAATCGATAGCATAACTAATAAAAATTTTATTTTAGAAACTTTCAGTGTATATTTGATATTTTATATAAGTATAACAAACTTGTACATGTATTGGATTATAAATACTTGTACCATTGTTAAATGATATTCGAAAAAAATATAGTATTCGAGAGAAAGTCTCCAATTCAGTTGAAAAATGACTAGGAGGTTAAATTTCTCCTAAGATCTGAACTTCCTTTGAATCGATTAGTTTCGGATGGTTTATCTATTACGCGTGATTTGTCATCGGTTATTACATGAAATCGAAAGATTTGTCGAGTCCGGCCCGAGGACTATGAAACACTATCCGGCCCAAACGTCACCGTATAAAAAAAATATATAATATTTGAGATTTTTTTAATTTTAATTTTAATATTTATTTATAATCTTTGTAATATATCGACTGAAGACTCGACAAATCTTGAGACGGCACGGTTCTCTATATTAGGCACGTGAATGACATTAGGACTTGCCATTGCCGAAACTAATGAGGCCTATATGCTGACACGTATTCTCCGATACAACAACCAGCCAGCTAACCATATCTGCGTTCTGGTGAGATCTTTATTGGCTTCATTATTTTGTCCCGTACCCAAGAAAAAGTGTTTTTAATTCTTGTCCGAAAAAAAAAAAAAAAAAACCCAACTAACTTGGTCATCATTTTCCCTTTAAAGAACCCCTGCAATCTTGCAGTATCTTCCAAGTTTTTCTACTCTACGTTTTATCTTTCACAGTGAATTGAATCTGAAAATGGTTCAGGGTCCGCCACAGGCAACGTCGGTGATGATCATCATAGCCACCGTTGTCACGGCCATGGCCGGTGCGGTGGCGCGTGCACAGCAAGTTCCGTGTTACTTCTCGTTTGGAGACACTTTCTTCGAAAACGGTAACAACAATGACTTGGTGACCGGCGCAAAATCCAACTACCCACCTTACGGTATTGACTTTCCCAATGGTCCGACCGGCCGGTTCACCAACGGTCGCACTATCCCCGATTTCCTCGGTGAGTCTCTACATTCACAAGCCGGTTCCCGGATTACTTCTCTGTGCACCATTGCCAAATGAAAGTACATAACTTGATCTCTGTATATAATATATATTTCAGCTGGATTTCTGGGTTTCAAGGATTATATCCCGCCCTTCGCCGGATCATCTCCGACACAGGTGTTCACCGGTCTGAATTATGCGTCTGGAGCATCTGGAATCCTCGACGATTCCGGCAGAAACCTGGTAAACTTCCATAAAAATAAACAAGAAAAATGATCACATGACCAATCATATAGATTTAGTTAGTGGTGTCAAATTGGGTTGGATTTAGTCGTTAACCCAACCACAACCCAATCATAATTATATTTTGGTTAACTATTCGGTCAGGGTTTAACGGTTTTTAACCCATTTAAACCATCGGCTTAATGAATCAGCCCAATTAACCCAATCTACAATAACCATTTTAATTTTAATTTTAATTCAAAATCTTAAATTTAGGAACCCTAATTCTCTAACCTTTCGAACAACAACAGTTTCTTCATTCTCTTTCCAACAACCGACAATGCGATTCAGTTTTTTTTTACTTCTTTGACGTATCTTTCACCATTAACAACCAGGTCAGAACTCTCTCTTTACTTCGTTTTTTACGTCTTCTGCTTTCCGTTCTTCCGTCGATTTCACGACTTTCTCGATGTGGAATGTGATTTCTCTGTATATTTGAAGGTACGATTCGGGTATGGTGAGTGCATTGTGGCGATCACATTTGAAAACCCTATCGACCATGTTTTACCTTTTAAGTTTTCTGTTTGTTTCCCGAGAAAATTTTGGAATATAAAGAAATGGTTTCTAGTTTCCGTTGCCACCAAATTCAGATCCGTAAGTTTGAAAACTTCAGAAAATTTTCTTTGTACTTTTTTTCTTTTGGATATGATCCATTTTAATGGAATTCAATTTTTTTTTTTTTAAAAAGGAACGTTATTCACCAATTTTGTTTTGAATTTCTTTGTCAAAGCATTAAAAGTGTACGTTTGCTTCATTTTAAAGTCTGGATTGCGTTTGCGAGTGGGATTCTTGATCTGACATGGGGTATTTTCATTTTCTTATAATGACCCGTTTTCAAGTGTGATGTATAAAAATATTATTTATTTTATTTTATAATGATCAGATTACTTTTTTCAATTATATATTATTTTATTTATAATTTGAACCGAGCACTAAAACCTTGGAACATGGTATTTATTGCGTTGTATAAAAATATTCCTCTTAATTTAATTCATAGCAAATCTAAATATATAATTAACGTATAAAAATTAAATGGGTCTATTGGGTTTGCCCTAACCCATGTAATTATTGGTATTGGGTTGGCCCAGCCCAAACCAAAAAGTCATCTGACTCAAATGGGCTCCACCCAAGTGGGCTGCACAAGCCCTAATTCACATGTATGAACCGTATCTCTTATGATGCAGGGCGACAACCTAAGTATGAACAGACAGATAGGGAACCACTTGGAAGCTACCACGAGGGCCGGAGTACCAGAGGACCGGCTGAAGCAGTGTTTGTACACGATCAGCACCGGAAGCAGCGATTACGTCAACAACTACTTAATGTCTCCGTCGTTGAACAGTCAGTTGTTCACTCCCGACCAGTTCGCCGAGTTTCTCATCCAAATCTACGCTTCCCAACTGAAGGTACGTAATCGTATATATGTAGGGTTAGATTTATATGACCAAACTTATAAAGAAATCCTAAATTGGGTTCAGTTCGGTTCGGTTTTCGGTTTTCGTGTCTAATAATTCAAACAATTTCGATTGAAATAAACATATATGCGTATGTGAAACTGATAGTATAATCCGAGTGGTGTGGCTTGGTGGTTGGGTTCGAGTATATATATGTCGCCTTGCTAAAGAACAAGATGAGACGCAGAGTTGGTTTTGGAGCTCATACATGCTCGTGCATTCGATAGTCAAACGATCCATTTGCTAATATGAACTTAGAATTTGCATTGTTGTTGCCCTTCACATGGTAAGTGGGAGATGAAAGTAAATGTTTTGGTTACGTTTCTTCTTTAAAATCGCTTTAATTGAATGTCTTTTTTTGAATGAAAACGTAATATCTTCTACTATAAACGAACAGAAGGATTCAATAACGTAATCAATCAGCGTACATATTAGATTCTAAATTCTGAATGTGTGTGTATATATATATGTCTACGTATAGATTTTGTATATACTCGGGGCAAGGAAAGTTGCACTGTTTGGGTTACCGAAACTGGGATGCGCGCCAGGGCTAGTCGCCCAACAAAGTGGCGGAGGCTGCAACGAGGATGCCAACTCTGCGGTCAATCTATTCAACAACAAGCTCATAGCTTATGTCAATGATGTCAACAAAACCCTAACTGATGCCAAATTCACTTACGTCGATGTGTTCAACACTGGACCGTCAGGTAACCTATTTACCATGAAATTTGATTATAAAAAAGTTTATTTGCAATCTATGCTAAAAAAAAATAGACTTTGCATACAACAATTGTTTTTCGAAAATTTCTTCTACCAATAATTTTTCTCTTCTTTCCATTTCTCTTGTCAACCCTATGTACTAATCAAGTTTTTGTTTTTTCTCTTATCTAATAAAAAGCATTAATGAGATTTCGTGAAAATTATTTATGAGAAATTATATTCATTAACGCTTTTTTTCTGTGTAAAAATGTTCAGGATTGAGGAACGATAGCTGTTGCACGGTCGAACCGGGACAAATTCTATGTGCAGCGAACCAGCCGGTTTGTGAAAACCGGAAAGAATACGCGTATTTTGACGCCTTCCACTTCACCGAGGTCGTATACTCGGCCGTTGCAGAGTCTGCCTTCACCGGCCAAATCGCTTCTCCGTACAGCATTGCCGAACTTGTTGGAGTTAGTAAGCCATCTATGTATGAATGATTTGTTGTTATGTGAAATAATGGACTGTATCATATATAATAAAAAATCTATATTTATAAAAAGTTACGATGTTGCAGATGTTACGAGTCTCGAGTCTACCGTGTTGTAATAAAATGTGAAAGCTATAATAATAAAGGTACGATTAGTGGTTTTTTTGCACGCCCATTCATGTAAATGAGCACGCATATATTTAGTTTTAACCCTAAGTGTGTGTAAATATCTTCATAGAAGCATTTCTTGAAGATCTCTATACAAACCTCTTCTCTCACACCGACAGCGAGACAGAATTAGGTCGATCGAAAAACCGATAGGTTTAATCACAATCTCCTGTAATCGCATGTATGAGATTTATAATCATACCTCCGTCTATGTTTTGGTAGAAATTTATAACGTTTTGTTAAAAATACCAAAATAGCCTCGTTTTTTAAAATATTACTATTATAATAAAATCATATATTTTTTTAGTAATTTACACAAAATAACAATCGTAACATTGTCAACAAGTAATTTTTTTTGTAACAGTTAATCAATCAATTAGCGTCAATCGTCACGATTGCCAAAAGGCGTAATAAAAACTCCTACAAGTTATCTCAGATGAAACTTTACAAGCCAAAGCGTGGCAGAATTGGTAGATGGATATTTGTAAAAAGAGTTTCATTTCCGGTTCGAATCCACCGCGATACAAATTTACAAAAAAAAAAATTAAACCCTACAATGGGTTGAATCTTTGTATGAAATTATAATAGAGAAATTTTGAGCAAATGTATAAATTTTAGAGAGAGATTGGAAACGTATACCTTTTTTTCAATCATTTGCAAACTATATCTTTGTATGAAATTTTATCAAAAATAATTTCGATTTTATTCTCTAATTTCTATTGTCATTTAATTTATTTTCTAATTTCTATTGTCATTTAATATCCCGAAAAATCTTCTCGATGAAAAATGTTTTTTAGGAAGGAAAAGGTTTGAGAAGATGAAACTATTTCATCTGAAAAACCTGTTTCCTTTGAGAACTCTTCAGTCTTCACGATAAAATTGTTTCATCCGGAAGAGTTTATTTTTGTCCGTGAACTTTTCAGGATGACGTTGTTTCGTTCGGGAGAATCTATTTTCGTCCGAAATTTTTTTCGTATGAAACTGTTTCGTCCGAAAAAATCTGTTTTCTTCTGAAAAACTCTTCAAGACGGAATTATTTCGTGCCAAAATGCATTTTTCTGTCTTGAAATCTCTTCGATGAATTTTTTTTGCAAATTTTATAATGTATAAATTATTCGTGATATTAATTAAAAAAGTATAGTATACAAACACCTCCATCTAACTATTTAAGATATTTTTCATAATTATTTTAAAAAATTAATATATATATAACAAAAAATAAATAAAAGTATACGAATTATATATTTACGATATATTAATTTTGTGAAAATTAATAATAATATATTTTTATACTAATATCTATATAAATTCCATTTATTTAGTTATATCTTTTTATATTTTATTGATAACAATGGGCATGTTTTCCTATGGCGTTCACGTGAACGAACGCCATTAAAAAACATTTATACGTGGTCCTGCCATCTTCCTCATCTTCTTCTTTGTAAATTTGTTGTTGCTCTTCGTTCGCCTTTGTCTTCTTCTCCTCCACTCTCAGAGGCCCATGAGCGTCTATGGCCGCATCTGGGGATGTCGCTTCGCCTCCATTAAACTTCTGACATGGCAGACGTGGCGTCTAGTCTTATTTTCCCAAAATATCGCTTTATTTAATATTTTTTATATTAAAGAATCTTTTAATATTTAAATATTTAAATTTTATATTAAAATATCATTTATTTGATCATTTTGAATAGTATTATTAAAATATGTTATATTTTTTCTATTCCATAGAGGTGCTATAAATATCTGAATTTTTACAAAATTCTCAAATAAATACCTAAATTATAAAATTACCAAATAAATACCTAAATTTTTTAAAACTTCCATATAAATACCATTTTTTTTAAAAAATTTATCAAATAAAACAACATTCGTTGACGACTAAGTCATCAATTATCGACGGATTCCGTTATAAATTTAACGCTGTTAATAAATTTTGGTTTCATTTGGTAAATTTTTAAAAGTTTGGGTATTTATATAGAAGTTTCGAAAAATTTAGATATTTATTTGGAAATTTTATAGTTTAAATATTTATTTAGAAATGTTGTAAAAATTTAGTTATTTATATGCGATTTTTCCGATATATATAATGGATTTTAGGTTCCAAGTACATATTTAATGATAAAATGAAATAAAAAGGACCGACCAGATTTATATTTCCAAGTACATATGCTTTCGGCGTCAATCTGACTTAATTAGGTTCGTCCATACACATGCACACTAATTTAATGATGCTGTTTCTCAAATGAAAGAGTTGTAATGGAAGTTTGTTCGCCTTGGAGAAGCAATTAAAAACCACAGCATTTATTTTTTTTGGTAAAGTTTGGCCCGGTGGGATTCACTAATTTATAGGATTTCTACGTTCAATATGATATTCTAATATATAAGGTTCGTTTAATATAAATATTTACTACAATTCGAGACAACATAGATATAAACAAAATACTTCTGTATATATAAACCGAATATTCTATAATGCTTGTATATATATTCCTCTAGTATCGAAAGCATATGGATGGTAATTAATATAAAGAAAATATATCTATAGCAAAAGTACGCTCAAAAACCATTAATAAATCAAACATTTTCCTCAAAAAAATGAAATAATAAATCACATAAAACTAGTAAGAATTTACGTGCATGCAATTCCCATCCATGCATGGGTGAATGGATAGAACTATCCGAATCTAACCATGCGTATGCTGACACGTGTTTCTCAATCCAACCACTCAAACTATTTCTGTTGTTATCGTAAGAGCATGGATTAATAGAAAACACGTTTTAAATGCATGTCCGAAAAGAACAAAAAAAAAAAAAAAGGAATCCGAGGAATTGGGTAATCATTTTCACTATAAATAGCCCTTCGATCTTGTGATGGGACGAAGCATACCTCAAAAGATATTCCAAGTTTTTCTTCTATACGTGTTTGTCTGTGAATTTCACAGTGAATTGAATCTGAAAATGGTCAAGGGAGTGGCAAAGGCAATGTCGGTTGTGATCATAGCCACCGTAGTCATGGCCATGGCGGGTGCGGCGGCGCGTGCTCAGAAGGTGCCGTGTTACTTCGTGTTCGGAGACTCCTTCTCGGACAGCGGCAATAACAATAACTTGCTAAACCAAATAAGAGTCAACTATCTACCTTACGGTATTGACTTTCCCAAGGGCCCGACCGGCCGGTACACCAACGGCCGCACTATTCCCGATTTCCTTGGTCCGTCTTTATATTCACAGATTCGTAGCAAACCGGTTCCCGATTTACTTTTTGCTGTCTTTGCCAAAACAAATGAAAAGTATATAACTTGTTCTCTTTTTACATAATATATATTTCAGCTGAATTTATGGGTTTCACGGATTATATCCCGCCATTCGCCGAAATATCTCAGACTCAAGTGTCTTCCGGCGTAAATTATGCGTCTGGAGGATCCGGAATCCTCGACGAATCCGGCAAACAAGCGGTAAAGTTCCAAAACAAAAAGAAAAAAAAAATGACCACGTGACCAATGGCAATGGATTTAGTATGTTAGAAACCGAATTTATAAGTGTTTTTTGTGCTACGTTTCATATGGTAAAAAATATATATATCAAGAATAATCCCATTATATATTATCTGAAGTTTCTTAGGACGTGATCTCGTAATTGGTTATTTGAAACCTGAATCTTGATCTATTAGCTATAACTTCATGGATGTCCTCATCGTTTCTGCAAGGCATGTTTAATATTGGACAAGTTTTGTCCTTGCTGCCATGAATGCCCTCATCAAATTACTCGTATCTTCCCAATGTTCATAATATATAACACTAACTTTTTTTTAATCAATATCTAAATGCTTCTTCTGGTGATAACAGGGCGATAACATCGAGTTTAATAGACAGATACAAAATCATTTGACGGCGATAACGTGGGCCTCCGTACCGAAGCAACGATTGAATCAGTGTTTGTACACGGTGTACATCGGAACCAACGATTACCTGAACAACTACTTCATGTCGCCGCCGTTCCAGTCCGGTCTCCTCTTCACTCCCGACGAGTTCGCCGACATTCTCATCGCACGATACGCTTCTCACTTGAAGGTGCGTAATAGGGTTTGATATAACCAAACTGAAAAATCAAATTTTGGGTTTCGGTTCGGTTTCTATGTCTAATTCTCTATGCATGAAAACATATACGTAAGATATATATATTAGACCAATAGTCACACCATATTAAATATGTTGAAGAAAACAACTTAACTGAAACCACATATACGTAAGATATATATTAGACCAATAGCCACAAAGAAAATTAAATGACTTGGGGAGATTTAGTAATTAAACCGATTCTTTTTTTACTATCCACAAAACCTTAATTAAATTCTAGAGTCATAACCCCGAGAAGAGACTTATAATTTACCTTGAAACAGTACTTATAACCCAAAATAAGCATATTCAAACAGATTTAGATTGAATAAACGAACATGTGTGTATGTATGTGTGTACACATAGGTTTTGTATGTCCTCGGAGCAAGGAAAGTCGCACTGTTTGGACTATCGAAACTCGGTTGCATTCCAACGAGAGTCGCCACCCGAGGTGGCTGTGACGAGGATGTTAATGCAGCAGTCGAGCTATTCAACAGCAGGCTCAGAGCTCTGGTCGACGATCTCAACCAAAGCCTCGTCGGTGCCAAATTCACTTACGTCGATATGTTCAACACTCCAATTCCCGCCTCCTTAGGTAACGTATTAAGATCACAAGAATCGTGGAATAATACCTCCTCTCATTTACTGAGCAAATTAATATATATAAATATTTTATTTTATTTTTTATTTAATTTTCTAACATGGTGGCTGGGATGACATGATATACTAGTTAAATTTTCGGTTTGCCATATCAGACGTCGGTGATGTTTTTCGTCGACTTTCAGGGGAGTTGGTTGAAATTTGGCAAGATTTCGATATTTCATTTCTATTTGGCACGATAGAAAACTTTATAATTGTTTAGTATATATTTGATTTGGGATTTTTACAAATTTGGATATTTTATAAGAGATATTTCCTATATATATAAATATGAATCCAGATTGAAATAGTGAAAATTATAAATGTATTATATTCATGTTTATCTCTAACAACATATTGTATTTATTTATAATAATATTCGTTTATATCTCTATTCTAAACGCATTAAAGTAATACCATGGTAACTGGTTATAAAAAAAAATTAAAAAACATGCAAATTTGAAAGTAAATTGTCTATATTATAAAGATTATTCTGTCTCGATAATATATCTTATGTTTTTCTCTCATATCTGATTATATTTATTATAAAAATGTTTAGGGTTGAGGAACGAGAGTTGTTGCACGACCCAACCGCCACAGGGTCTATGTGTACCGAACCAACCGGTTCTTGAAGATCGGTCCAAATGCGCGTATTGGGATGGCGTCCACGATACAGAGATCGTAAACTTAGTCGTGGCAGAGTCTGCCTTCACCGGCCAAACCGCTTCTCCGTACAGTATTGCCACACTCACCGGCCAAACCGCTTCTCCGTACAGTATATGAAGAACGTGAAATAATGGACTGTAACATATAACTAAAATGCAAAAGCTATGATATTATATATATTAAAAGTCCAGAGTAGACCGTACTGTAATAAAATGCTATTTATGGATAATAAAGGTATGACTTCGACTCTTAATATTTGACTCCGAAGAAAGATATTTCATCATTAGAGGTCTAGAATATATTCTATTTAAACTTTTTTTTGTTAACGTTAAATCTTATATATATAAATGATGTTATAATAGAGATTACCAATGGTAATAGAGATATTAAAATTCATCATAATAAACAAAACAAGCAAAACAAAGAAGAATGAAAGTTAAATAATAAGTCATACCCAAGCTTGGGTGGTCTAGTGGAGAAAAAACATGCAGAGCATGCTCTCACCCTGGGTTCAAATTCAAGCGTGGGGAGGAACATTCACCTGGATTTCTCCGGTCTTCTGTGAGATGTAGTCGGATCAAATACCCGGTGAACTTCCGAATTATCCAAAAAAAAAAAGTCAAAGTGCATAAAGTGAGAAATAGAAGTGATATCCAATGTGTCTTGTAAGTGGCCTATGTTGGATGGTAAGAATCACTAAATTTTGCCTTTTTCCTTTCGAGTTTTTTCGACCAGTGTAAAATATATAGAATGTTAACAGCACGAAAACATAGAATACGCTGAACTCCTTGAACTGTAGCAGCAGTAGGAGAACGAGCTTGTAGAATTCTTTGAGCTTTCCACCACTAGCTCCTGGTCCGAGTCAAAGCAGCTTGTCAGGTTTTGTATCATGAGTTGGCGTTAGAGCTTCGAGTCAATCTTGTACCTCTAGGAAGTTGTTGTTTCTCACATTGCTGTGATTTCCGTTTCTCTTCTCTCTCTTGCATGGATCAACATCCTTTCGTTTTCGTGCCATTTTTAATACCCAAGATTATAAAACTTTTATTAGAACTTGGTGAAAACGGGCAACTGCAGGGATCCAAATGAATGGGCTCAATCGGCAGAAAGGTTCAAAACATGGAAAGTCCTTGGATCAACATCCTGTCGTTTTCGTGCCATTTGTAATACCCAAGATTATAAAACTTTTATTAGAACTTGGTGAAAACGGGCAACTGCAGGGATCCAAATGAATGGGCTCAATCGGCAGAAAGGTTCAAAACATGGAAAGTCCTGTTCCTGGATGCTTAGGCAGTATGGTGAACCTCTTTGTTCTGGACGCAACTGCTAGGGGAAACAAGTTTCTTACTGATAAACCTCACAATGAATTTTGGATAAATATTGTTTTTGTTTAGGTCGTTAGGCGAAGTTGGTTTGGTAGAAGTAGGCGACGATGGTTGGTTGCTAGGAGAGTGGCATGTTTGTGAAGTAGGTATTCTTGGATCGATGGAGACAGTGATGATTAGTAATTTTGCAGGTGGATTTTGGTTTTGTTTCTGACTTATGATGGTGGTGGGCGAGGATTCTTAGATGATTGGAGAAGGTATAGTGGGTGGAACGTCGGGTATGGGATGAAGTGTATGTGGAGGTGAGGAGATGGCGTCGCCCGAGGGGGAGTGAGGGTGGACAGTATCAGGGCCTTGAAGATTTGGCTTTTCTGATATTTGAGGTGTCTGATCTGAAATTTTAGAAGGACAAACATTCTGCTTGTGACCAAATGCCTTGCAAATAGCACACCTAGGGGGGATCCAAGCGTAGCTTATATCAATTTTTATGACCACACCCGTGTCGTCTTCCAAGTTGGATTTCAACCTTTACCCGAGCCTCGCCGATAGCCAACGGGCAAAGACGCATTTTTTCGGTGTGTAATTTTATTCAAACTTTCGTAAGTCCATTCTAAGAAATGAAAACAGAAATGAGTTTAAATATCTCCGTAGAAACGTTTCTTGAGGGTCTACATATCTTACGAGTCATAAAAGTTATTGTGGATATATATGATATTATTGTAGGTATATATATATACCTTTAATCCACGTTAGTGAATAGTTGGATGGTGCATTGGTTACTAAAATAAAATTTAGAAAATGTCCAGGGCCCCAAAAAATTATGAGACGGCCCTGGCTTCTGCTATTGAAGCGGGCGATAACCTAAGTCTATTAACGGACAGATCCGAAACCACTTCATGGCCATCACGAGGGCCGGAGTACCAAAGGCGAGACTAAAGGAGTGTTTGTACACATTTAGGAGGCGATTCACCACGATAAGGAACGAATGGGGATGCTTGCATCACAACGGCACGCTGCTATCGATATGGTTTCGATTATTTGAGAAATTTTAGTTCACTTTACGTACATGCAATTCCCATCCATGCAGGGGTGAATGGATAGAACTATCCGAAACTAACCATGCGTATGCTGACACGTGTATCTCAATCCAACCACTCAAACTATTTCTGTTGTTATCGTAAGAGCATGGATTAATAGAAAACACGTTTTAAATGCATGTCCGAAAAGAACAAAAAAAAAAAAAGGGAATCTGAGGAATTGGGTCATCATTTTCACTATAAATAGCCCTTCGATCTTGTGATGGGACGAAGCATACCTCAAAAGATATTCCAAGTTTTTCTTCTATACGTGTTTGTCTGTGAATTTCACAGTGAACTGAATCTGAAAATGGTCAAGGGATCGGCAAAGGCAATGCCGGTTGTGATCATAGCCACCATAGTCATGGCCATGGCGGGTGCGGCGGCGCGTGCTCAAGAGGTGCCGTGTTACTTCGTGTTCGGAGACTCCTTCTCGGACAGCGGCAATAACAATTACTTGCTAAACCAAATAAGAGCCAACTATCTGCCTTACGGTATTGACTTTCCCAAGGGTCCGACCGGCCGGTACACCAACGGCCGCACTATTCCCGATTTCCTTGGTCAGTCTCTATACTCACAGAGTCGCAGCAAACCGGTTCCCGATTTACTTCTTGTGTATCTTTGTCAAAACAAATGAAAAGTATATAACTTTTTCTCATTTTACATAATATACATTTCAGCTGAATTTCTGGGTTTTACGGATTTTATCCCGCCATTCGCCGAAATATCTCTGACACAAGTGTCTTCCGGCGTAAATTATGCGTCTGGAGGATCCGGAATCCTCGACGAATCCGGCAAACAAAAGGTAAAGTTCCAAAACAAAAGAAAAAATGATCACGTGACCAATGGCGGTGGATTTAGTATGTTAGAAATAAAATTTACAAGTGTTTCTGGTGCTCTAGATGTGGTGGTCCGATGATGTTAGAGTACAAAGTGTTCTCCCACACCCGGCTTCGAATCCCACCGAACAATTACCAATATAAAAAAAAAAGTGTTTCTGTTGCTACCACATGCATTTTATGTCGTAAAACATATATCAAGAATAATCCAATTATATATAACTTGAAGCCTTCTTAGCATGTGATGTCTAATTAGTTATTTGAAACCTGAATCTTGATCTTTTAGCTATAACTTCATGGATGTCCTCATCGTTTGTGCAAGGCATGTTTAATATTGGACAAGTTTTGTTCTTGCTGCCATGAATGCCCTCATCAAATTACTCGCATCTTCCCAATGTTCATAATATATAACACTAACTTTTATTTTTTGGATAAATTAACACTAACTTTTTTTAATCCACATCTAAATGCTTCTTCTGGTGTTAACAGGGCGATAACATTGAGTTTAATAGACAGATACAAAATCATTTGACGGCGATAACGTGGGCCTCCGTACCGAAGCAGCGACTAAAAGAGTGTTTGTACACGGTGTACATCGGAACCAACGATTATAACAACAACTACTTTAAGTCGCCACCGTTCTGGTCCGGTCTGCTCTTCACTCCCGACGAGTTCGCCGACATTCTCATCGCACGATACGCTTCTCAGTTGAAGGTACGTAATCGTATGTCTGACATAACCAAACTGAAAAATCAAATTTTGGTTTTCGGTTCCGTTTCTACGTCTAATTCTCTATGCATGGAAACATATACGCAAGATATATATTAGACCAATAGTCACACCATATTAAATATGTTGAAGAAAACAACTTAACTGAAACAACCATACAAGACACAAAGAAAATCAAATGACCTTGGGAGATTTAGGGTTTGACTGATTGTACCGTTGCAATTGGGTTTGCAAGTGACAGTGTTGTCAAATATTTTGATAGCGATTTTGAATGATTAGTACTGACTGATTAATAAGTTGTTGTTGACAGCGATTATGAGTGAATGCGATTAGAAGTGAATAACTTATTGCGGTTGCGGATGTGTTTTGAAATAAATTACCGAAAAGAATATTATTTTAAAAGAATTTTTTTTATATTAATTGTAATTAAAATTTTAATATCATTTGATTAAAAACTATTTACTAAATTTTTAATAATTAAATAATACAAATAAAATATAAATATTATCAATTTAATTCATTTTTAAGTAAAAAAGTAATTTTACTATAAAAATTTAAAAATAGTTATTATTAAACCTAAAAATTATATAATCATTTGATATTATTATTTGTTTTACGAAAATATAATATAAAAAATAATATCATATCATAACACTAAACAAAATTATATATTAATGTTTTTATAATTTTGTAATAAGAATATTTTAGTTTTTTATCCAAACATTGAAAATCGATATCAAAACGGAGATTGGAAGTGCGATTAGAATCACAAACTTGGTTGTCACTGCCGGTGATTGTGATTCAACCAGTTTGTTTTTCTATCGTCCACAACTATCGAAAACTGCAACCATTCTCTTTGGGAGTAACAACAGTACAACCTGCCGTCCCCTTAATAATTAAACCGATTCTTTTTGAACAATCCACAAAACCATAATTAAATTCTAGAGTCAGAAACCCCGAAAGAGATTTATAATTTACGTTGACAGAATACTTACAACCCAAAATAAGGAGATCCGAACAAATGTAGATTGAATAAACTAAATATGTATGTATATATACGTGTGTGTACATATAGGTTTTGTATGTCCTCGGAGCAAGGAAAGTCGCACTGTTTGGACTATCAAAACTCGGCTGCATTCCAGCGAAAATCACCACCGGAGGTGGTTGCGACGAGGATGCTAATGCAGCAGTCGAGCTATTCAACAATAGGCTCAGAGCTCTGGTCGACGATCTCAACGAAAGCCTCGCCGGTGGCAAATTCACTTACGTCGATATGTTCCAAACTCCAA